GGCCCGGTCCCGCGGGCCTGACCCGGCCCCGTCGCCTTCTCTGTCCCTTTCCCCTGGAGCGGGGTGGCTCCTGCTGCCGCGCCGTCTCCTTCCCTGCCCTCCTTCAGGGCGGGGGCTGGCATAGCCGAGGATCTGGGAGCACTCGGCGGCGTGTCCCTCCTGAAAGCTTGGTTTTTCTCTGTCCCGCCCAGGGAGCAGGTGTCCGCGTGTGTTGCCATCCTGGAGAGGCTCCTGCAGGCCCTGGACCCGGTCTACGTGATCCAGAACCTCAGAGAAGAGCTTCAGAAAGGACTTTTCCACCCCGATGACTCCGTGAAAATCCTCACCATATCCCAGGTACCGGGTTTTCCTCCAGGAGGAGGGGCAGGGCTCTGTCTTGTGCCAGGCTGGGTTAGACCTACTCTGTTAGGGTTGTTCCACGTCCTAATTTGTGACAGAAGCACTACATCGAGCGTCCCCTGCAGGAATTGTGCTCTTACACGCTCATGCACTTCTGGAGAAACACTCTGCAGTGTGTTGTTCTGTATGTTTGATGATGTGTCTGTTAAACATAACGTGTAAAACTTACGTCTCGACAGAAGTAACTGCTAAATGAACCTTCTGTCACGTCTGATTAAAGCTTTCCAAGCCAGCCCTGACAGCAGGCGCCATAAGAATTAAGTGCAGCAACGCTTTGGTATTTGGGATGCTTTGAACAACACTGTGGAAATGCTGAAGAGGATCAGGCAGTAGTAACTTGGCATTTGTTGCATTAATACAGAAGAACTGTGGAACAGTGTAGTTTGGAATGGGATTCTAGAGGTTTCAGGGCCAGCCCCCAGCTAAAAGCAGGGCCAGCTTGCAGCTGGCTGCTCAGGGTGTTGTCCAGTTGAGTTCTGAGTATCTCCAAAAATGGTGATTCTGTCAGTCTGGGTAGTTGTTCCAGTACTTGAATGTCCTTAGAGTGGAAAAAAGTTGTATTTTCTGTAATCATTTAACCATGTCTTTAGGTTGGGAGGATTGTTGAAAGTTCAGATGCTGTTACAGAAATTCTCAACAGTCCTGAATTACTACGGCAAATAATAAATTGCATTGGTGGAGAGAAAATAGCAGTGGCTAAAGAGGCAGTCTGGGTAGTTGTTCCCGTACTTGAATGTCCTTAGAGTGGAAAAAAGTTGTATTTTCTTTAATCATTTAACCATGTCTTTAGGTTGGGAGGATTGTTGAAAGTTCAGATGCTGTTACAGAAATTCTCAACAGTCCTGAATTACTACGGCAAATAATAAATTGCATTGGTGGAGAGAAAATAGCAGTGGCTAAAGAGGTAAGCGTTGCTTTCTCTTTGTCTTCCTATGCAAACTGAGTAGGTGCCGCACAGAGCAGCTTTTCTGCTGCGTCTGAGACTACAGCCTCTGGTCCTCTTTGAAGAAAAGAGCCCTCATGCTGCTTGAAAGATGTTATAAGGTTGTAGGTGCCTTAAGCCCAGAAATCACTTAGATGTGCTAGAAAACTTACCCAGAACTGTTATCTTTGGCGATTAATGCCAAAGGGAACTCGGAGATCTGAATTTGAGCCCAGAGACTTTGGGGCAGTGACCATAATTAGCTCTTGTCAGTGAAAAGGGAGTCACAGTTGAAGTTGTAGGTGTGTAACTTGACGCAATGTGTTAGTAAAGCACATTGAAGCTACGTCTGATTGTCTTGAATTTTCTTCTCTTTGTGCTTTTGTTTGTTGTTAATAATAAGCTCCTTTTTTTTGCTTTCAGGCCATCAAATCTCTCTCAAGAATAGCACAGACCCAGGATGGCTTAGAGGCTTTATTTGTGAGCAGTTTGTTGAGTGACTTGAAGAATGTCATGGCAACAAGTGATATTGTTCGGTACAGAGTGTATGAGGTAGGGGTGCCGTCAGCGTCGGCCTCTGAGCGGCGTGACACTGCCGTTCTCTTGGACTCTGGTTCTGAATTACAGTCTGGATTTCATGGCTTGCTTTTAAATTAGTCTTTATCAGTGCGCTACAAGCTTTTCTTCATTCTGTCAGGACTAGAAAGGAGCAGGAAGAGTGCAGCAGCGTTGGCCCTCAAATACCATCATAACTTCTCTTTCTCAGTTTATGGATGAAAGTATGAGGTGCTGTTTACCTCTCTTAGTTTCTAACTTGTGGCTGGGGCATTGGTAGGGCCACACAGAGTTCCTGAAGCTACAGTAAAGTGTTTGCATCTTTAAAAGTGTAAGTAAAATAGCTGCTGTAGTCTTCACCTTTGGATGGGAAGTGCTGTTAAAACATCTGGAGGGGAGAAGAGAGCAAGACGCTGACTGTGTCAGTCTGGATGTGTATGGCAAAGCAGAAATAAGACAGTTTACCCGTTCTGGAGCTTAATGGGGACAGTGGTGAGGATCCTCTGAAGGAAAGATGAGTGAATAGAAATCACATGCATGTGCTGTAAACCTGGAACTCCTTCTGAACTTGTTTCAGGCAAACATTTAGCTTGATTATTAATTACAGAATTTCATGATGTTTTCATATCTAGAGGGTTAGTCAGCATGACAGGATGTATGTTGCCATTACTGTGAATTGCTATCATTATAATGTTTTTATAAACCATCCTTTTTTCCCCTCCCCGTGCTGTTATTTAGCTAATTGTTGAGATTTCTTCGGTGTCAGCAGACTCGCTGAATTACTGTGCGAACAGTGGGTTAATATCGGAGTTAATTGGGGAGTTGACCGGAGATGACATGCTGGTCAGGTATGTTGGCTTGCCAGTGCGATTTCCCTCGTTGTTAGAACTCTGATGTTCAGTCGGAAAATAACACACATTTGTGTGTGTTTCTCGTGAAACCCTTTCCAGGAAAACGCTTTATCCGCCTCTTCTTAAACTGCCCGGAGTGTAAAATACCCTATACTTAAATTTGGGGCCAAAGATGACGTTTCCCCAATGTGCTGTGATAATCGTGGTGCTGGGCTGCAGTACAAACACTTCTGAATTCTTTCCAACCCTACACCTGAAGTGAGGTGGCTGAGTGAGCTTGCGGGGGTTGTGTGAATTTTGGGTAGAAAACCTGTTTTCTTAAATCACAGAGTGCTTGAAAACCCCATCTGGAATAAGCCGAAATAACTGCGTGTCTGTTACAGAGCTACGTGTATCGAGATGGTGACCTCGCTGGCCCATACCCCGCACGGCCGTCAGTATCTCGCTCAACAAGGCGTTATCGACAAAATTTCGAACATCATCGTTGGGGCAGAGTCTGATCCTTTCTCAGGCTTCTATTTACCAGGTTGTTTCCAGTGTTTACTGCTTGCTTTTATTAATGACTTAAATTGAGAGGAATACTAAGCCTCTGGTTTGAAAGGTCACGTGGATTTTTGAGCATTAGCATGTGCTGGATCTGTGCAAAAAACACTGAAGGACAGTCCAACGCATTAATAATATCACTGGTTAACTGTAGCAGCACAGGTAAGGTCTGGAGAGACTCTACTGTCCATTTGGACTTTGTGTTGTTGTAGCCTTTTTTTAATAAATTCAAAAATCACAGACTAGTTTGGGTTGGGAGGGACCTTAAAGCCCACCCAGTCCCACCCCCTGCCCTGGGCAGGGACACCTTCCACCAGACCAGGTTGCTCCAAGCCTCAAAGACAGCTGTTACATCATGAATTAAGTAACTCCAAAAATACTGGCTTCTTCCTTAGTTCTGTCCTTATTCTGATGCCTTTCACAGACTTAATAACAC